ACTTTGAGGGCTAAGGGACATATTTTGGAGGAGGTCAAATTGAGAAGATTTTGAGATATAAATACTGTTTCCATGGTAACCATATAAGTTAGAGATTGGACATTTCTGGCACTGACTAACCATGGTATGCTCTGCCTACTATAAAACTATGAATATATGACATGCATTAGTATTCTTTTTATCAGGTGGTATTAAAGTACCCCCAAGGTTTTCTTAGGGTGGGGGTATGAATTGGCCTGAGGGCCGTCTGCCACCCCTACATGAAGTCCAACTACCCAGAAAGTGTCCAGCATAATCATACAGACTGTTTGAAATATGTTGGAATGTGTGACCTTCCATGAAAAATGGAAGTTGCAATTATCAGAGTAGTCCACAGTCTACCATAAAGAAAAAGGTTTTATACCAGACATCCAAAACATACTTCAGAAGTACAGTCTAAATGAATACTAGTACTTAGAAAGATTTTTAGATGACGGGTACTTTCCCCCAACAAAACTATGGAAATTGATTTGTAAAAATAATGTTCAAATACAAGTTGAAGCTAGCATCAGCACTCTAAGGTTGACCAAAGTCGAATTATCTAACAATATCATATGGACTACTGGTCAAAGACATCCGCATCTATTAGAATACTGTTACACACTAGCGAAACTAGTAGCAGTTCCTGAAGACAAAGAAACCAATCATTTATGTGAAAAATGCGGAAATTTATTTAAAGATACAGTAAATCATTTACTCTTTCAATGCTGCTGTGATGCTGTCTGCAAAGGTATGACCATGCACGACTTAGTATGTGACCCCCGCGACGCTGATGACGACACAAGCGACAAAATAGCAGCATTAAAGGGACCCAACACCTTACAAAATTTCTAAACGGAGAGGAATAAGGGAAAATGCTTGCCGGATTCTGAATCTGTGTATTTTTTAATGATTTTTCACCGTCTTAAAATTTCAATTTTTTTCCTTTGAAAAAATGAGATTTGCATTGTTTTCCAATTAGAAAAATGAGTAAACATGAATAGCTCGAAATCTAACGGTGAGATTTTGTTTTAATAAATCATGGATATCAAGGCTAAATATAGCTATACAATAAACATAAAAAAGCAATGCTTGGACTCTTCATATTCACACAAAAAATTAATTAGTAAATGAGGTTTGATATTTGTGAGAATAAGTTGTACAAGGTGCAATGCTCTACAAACACCAGACTACAGGGTGGATTAGGATCAATGACACACATAAAAATTCATTTAAAAATATTTCATTTTTGTTATAAAGATGACCCATAGCTTTACTATTGACTTGCCACAGTCAACGTTGAGCGAGCACATTGGGCAACATCAGAAAAACCCAAAATACAGAATAATATTCTATAATGTTAATATGGTATGTATATGTAAGCCACATCTAATACTATTTTAAAGCAATATTTCATTTTGCTGAGGGATATTAATCTTTTTATTCCATTATAACAGTTTTCCAGGGGATTAACAGTAAAATATAAAAGCTATTGAAAATCCCATATCAGAAAAATCACTTATTGAATCCTGTATCTGATTCCATATCAGCCAGAAATCTGAGCTAGATTTGCATCACCATTTCAGAATTTAATTTTTTTTAGAATTTCTACACAAAAATACATTTTTGTTGCGGACAATACTACATCACGCAATCTTTTTTTATAAAGATATTTGGAGAGATTGCATGGTGCAAAGTCATCTGTAACGAAGAATCCTCATTGCATCAAAATTCTACAAGTAATATCTGAAATGATAATGCAAAAATGGTGCTGATACAAAAGTAAGATGGGAGAAATAATTAAGTTTTGTGACTTTATGATCATTTTGCTAGTGATTCGTTTTGAGAAGACATTAATCTAACATACACTTTTGATTTTGTGGTTAGAGAATGTCTGTGGCCAAAGATAAATAGTTATGACTTTTGACTATACATACAATATCTTATGGGAATGTATTTCCATCTGCTCAAGATACATTATGAAGATATCATATTTTAGCTTCGAAAATCACAATCGTTGGATAATACATTTGTCTCAGAATGATAGGCCACCCTGTAGCAATGTAGCTATCACTTGAAGTGGACCCTTGAGAATAATGAACTTACTTTCAAATTGGTCTTGCTTTTGTGGTGTATGTGGCTTTTTAGCAAATCTGCCACGTTCATTTCTTTCCAGAACCATCTTGTTCACATGTATCACTAGGCTATACGCGCATGTATAGACAGATGACATAGATATACATATAAATTATATATTGCACCTGTATTTACTTACATGGGAATATTCCCTTTGGAAAAATGCAAATGCATGAACATATATTTTCATCTTATATATGACTTCAAGCTAACATATTATTTCATATTTATATTTTCATAGTTAGTCTAACATAAATAATAGATCCATGAGAACAATATTCTTTGTTTTCTTAAAAATTGATGGGTTTACTGTGAATTCAATAAATTACAATTTGCAAGGGGTAAGTATACTGTATGACCTTAGTTGCAAAGTACTGTTCATATATGCAGCTTAATAGCATAAAATATGTTGAATGAACCATAATGGTGTGGATTAGTCGTGTGACACACAAACTGACCAATACATGAGGGTATTAGCTACTTTTCACATAAACCAAAGGAGGACAGTGCTTTTATTTCAACTGGGAGCTTACCTCCACACGACTGATCATGTGACCATGGTGGTGGGTCCCTTTAAGTAAAATTTTGCCACAAATACACAAATTGATTTTTGTAAACGGAATCTCATTGGTTCCAGCGTTTCCAGATTAAAGCGATAATAATGTAAGGTGTTAGAGCTTTTTGCTCAACATAAATGTATAAATGATGTAAATAACTACCATTTTTAAAAACAAAACAAAAACAACCTTCGTTTGAAAGTTTTTATACACTTTATTAACCTGTAATTACGTTGTAAAATGATCCATGAATAATGGGAAATAAAGATATAATAATAATAATATTGATAAAGAAACTTTGCAATTCAGTTTTAGCTTATGAATGTCAAACATATTAAAAAAATTGAGTTGTTTAAAAAGAGATGAGCTTGTAGTATAGTCAGAATTTGTGATTACTTTTTAAAGCTTACTGCACGTTTTTGTAACAAAAACAATTTATTCAAAATGTATATTTAATCTTTCCCACAGTATAATTTTTGATATTTTATTTATTACTTTATTTATGTGCTCATTTCATTTTAATGTACTGTCCTCCCAGAAAATACCTATGCTAATACTCTTAAGTATTGCACAATAAAACAAATTATTCTGAAAATGACGGTGACCCAAATAACACAATGAGGGTCATCATACACCACAGGCTATATAATAGCTTTCGTTGAAAACAGAGACATCTATAGGCCTATACCTGTCGTTTGGTTTTGACCCATACAACAGAACATTAGTCTCACTGGGCTACTCTCGCCGGGGGATCCGAGATGAGAGAGGGATCATGACCATAAGGAATCAAAGATAGCCTAAACGCATCACCATGGTTATCTAGGAATTATGGGCTATTTTCTCAATTCTTTTCATGTCACGATAGTGAGGGAAACATTGAAATGCAGTGTTGTAATTTAGATTGCTTTCAACAGTGTACTAAGTGCACTTACACACCGGAATAGCCTGACAACGGTAAAGTCAGAAACCGTTGTCACAAATGGCGGACATAACCGTCGCTTCAATTCTTCAATCACTTGGTCCTCGTTTCACGGGACTTTATCGCCCCTTTATCGTCGCTAATTCCATGTAATTCTGTGCATGTATTATATAAACTCTTGTGATAATGTATCATATAAAATCCCAATTTCCATCAAATGGGGTCGTGAATCGCCACAATATATCGAAATCGTCAATGACAACGGAATCTGAATTTGGGATAATTTACAAAGACAATGACATATGGTAAATTATTTAAAATTCAGATTCCGTTGTCATTGACGATATCGATGACGCTATAATGTGGCGATCCACGACCCAAAATGATCGAAATTGGGATTTCATATGATACATCATCACAACAGCTTACATGCGACGATAAAGTCCGATAAAGCGACGATAAAGTCCCATGAAACGAGGGCCAAGTGATTGAAGAGTTGAAGCGACGGTAATGTTCGCCATTTGTGACAACGGTATCTGACTTTGTCAGGCTTACCGGTCTGACTAACTATATAAAGTTGAATGTATGGGAGTGCAATATTCTCAGTACAGGGACTCCATTGAGAGTTTAAAAAACATGAATGGTTTTCTTAGATCTGCTTAATCATTTGTTGCAAAGCTTTCTACTTGTAACCGAGTGACGGCCATTCATTGAGTGTATTACGATTTTATTCAAAACAGTATATCTTCATACTGACATTCCCCTTTCTAATGGTATACTCAAAGCCACAATAAATTACGTCATGGCTTGATATCATTTGCTCAATAAATAGGTACATTTCAGTTTTGATTTCTTCCACAAAATATATAAACGGTAGTGAAATTAATTATTGACAGCATGAGATCTATGTAGCTGAGATAAGTTATCATGTCAATATGTGACAGATGTACTACATGTATTTATTTTGTAAAGACATGTGTAATGTCTTTGCCTACAGGTATCCCTATTATATGATGGTTTGTGCACGATGCAGGGGCGTCCCTGGATTTTTCCAAGCGGATGCGCCTACATCTAAAAACAGTTTCTCAATCTCTTTGGAAAGAGCTAATAGTTCTTTTTTCCCCAAGACTCCTTGTCCTCAGCACTGACACCGTGAACAAAATCCCCGGAAAAAATTGGCTCAAAAAGGGGAGGGACACGGTCCCTATGCATCTCCACCCATGCGATGAATAAATTGTTATTATTGGGTCTTATATTGTGTTTTGTATTGGGTACGTGAAGGAGTCTTGGTCTTGTTTTTCTGGGTCACCGTGTACCTTCATTCCTGGCTATGTTATCGTACCCGGCCGTCTGTTCTGTAACATCACATGCTCTGACATGCGGCTGTTATTTTAACTCAACGTTTTGTACATGTACACTTGTCGTCGAACCAGTTACTACAATTTTGGCACGAGGTAGAAGTACATCATGTTTAACACTTACAGTTATATATTATAAATATATGACCAGTATGTATGACTGGCCTCAACTGGGATAAGTGTCTTTACGTGATACAGCGCAACGTTTACAAATTCAGTATTATGTTTGGCAAGCTGTGTTCAGGGCATCCGCAGATTCCGCACAACGTTTCACTGTCATTCGATTGGATATTAAAGTAATAACTCCTGTTGTGGCTCGCTGGGAAAGATAAACACCAGCAAGTATCCCTAAATCACATAGGTTGTAATAGAGCATTGGAGCATCTTCATACACGTGAGTAATTTTGATATCAGTAATAACAATTTGATCTTTTGAAATATTGATGGACATCTCATAAAGTACTTTTTAAAGTACTTTTTTAACATAGTATGATAACCATATTTTTAATGCATCCATCAAATCTGCCAGATTTCTTTCTTTGTATTAATAGATGATTTAATCGCACGTAGAGTTCATAATACATGCAAATCAAAACAGTTACTCAAACGAAAGACAGCGTATGATAGTTCAAAGTCACGGTTTGAGAGCGGAAGATTTGTCCGCTATGGGGGATCAAGTTACTTTTTGTCAAAAATAAGAAGGAAATGTACTCAAAACAAGCAAGGTCCGGGACGTAAAACAGATTCTACTCCCTAAGGCCTTATGAACGTTGTCGGACCTTCAAAGTGACAATTCATTTGGTCAAAGTCGACAGCAGCCACTTATCGAACATTTGTAATACGCAAACTTACACTTAAGTATTCTGTTTCGTGCACCAAGTTGTGCCACCCCATGCAGACGGATCGCCTAAAATTGCATTCGTATGATGCGAGACTCGACATTCACCAGGAAACTAGAAACATTTTGCCACTAATGAACTTAATTAATCTTTTACTGCTTAATAAATGGTGGATGACAGTCACATTGAGTTCTATAAATATGAAAATAGCACGACGTCTTGATATTCCAAGGTAATTCGTTTGAATAGTGATTGCGGTGATTGAAATTACGATGTAGAGATAAAATCGCAACGAAATGGTAGATCATTTTGAAAAACTAAGAAATATGCATCACATATCGAATTTTTCAAAACGGAAAAATACATGTATAAAAAGTAAGGCCTGCAGGTCCGATTCCTCCTGGTAGCATCAACATTGGTCTCGTGTATGTCATACAATTAATATTTGAAACACAATTATTATTCGAACTTATGATCGGACATAAGTATGATGTGTACTTCAAGGTTATAAAGCAATGTAACTTCTTGCACGTCAGTTTTTATACTTTGATATGTATCGTTCATCGAGAGAACATAGAGATCAAGGTGATGTAAGAGAGGTCGTATTTACGATTTTTCTGTTTGAACGCAATGCTCCTGCTTAATAGTCGCAATCTTATCAACATAGGCCAAGGGAAAAGTAATACTAAGCAGTATATAGAAGAGACAGGTCCACAAGTAAGATTGAAACCTGCAATTGCCTGGCAAGCTGAAACTGATTGTCACTGGTGGAGGTCAGGGAGGTCAGCAGTGACCAATCAGATCACTTGTTTACAAATGAACTTGCCAAGCAATTGCAGGTTTTCAGAAATTCTCTCTTTTAGACAGCATTTTTCACTCTATATCATCTGACTGAGTTTCAATCTTAGGTAAGAGCTACAAACTATCAATTTTCTATCAACTCCCCATGGCTTTTTGAAAATAATACACTAAATATTGTTGAAATCTCCATCTTAACAAGTGGTCTAAGTCAGAGTTGTTCACCTGTCTCTTCTATATACGGCTTACTATTACTTTACCCTTGGCCTATGCTTATCAACGTACAAGACACTGACAAGTTCCTGATAATGCATTATCATTGTGGCTAATCTATCTTCTTAGCTATCTTCAATTTACCTCTTACTAGAATAATCATGTAAATCGTGCTTTTACGCTGGTTGCATCCTTCCGGGCGTTCGAATAGCCTACAGAACTTAAAAAAGGAAGGAACATAGTGGATGATGTTTGAGGCCCTGCGTTCGTAGGAAGCGCAGTCCGACTCATCAGAGGAAGGACATCCCTGTCTACGCAGTGTGAAATGCTAAACTCGCGTATAAAATAAAAATGGATGTAGAGTTTGGAATGCTAAACTTTTCACCCTCATCAGAATTCCTTATCTTGCTACAATCTGCGACAACTTGATATATGGGAAATTGCGAAGTAAGATAAGGTGCACTAACGAATCTAGACCAAGTCACGTATAAAAGCACTTAACTCTCTTCGAAATGTTGGTGGTTTGTACTCGGCGTTCGGTTTCCAGCGTTCGGCAGTAGGCGTTCGGTGTCTGTAACAAATGGCAGGTTGTGGCATTTTGCATGATAATACCTTTTATGAAACTTAGTAAGCCAAGTGACTTCAGGCAAATCAATTATTTACTATCATCGCTCCCTCATGATTATCTTAAATCTGGTAATACGTGGAAACTTAAAACAAATTATAGGCCTAGTATCATAAGCCTAATTTCTGACGCCATTTTGTTACTGAAACAGATCCATATTTATACATTCTGTTACAGATCGTGTTTCGTTGGCCTATTTTCTGATCATGTGTATTAAATCATTGCACCGTGCTAAAATCTTCGCCTTAATCTAGAAACAAGACCACAACGACAACACCCCCCTCCCCCTCACACAAACACACAAAAAGTGTGATGTGTTGGTGGAGTGGATAAGGGGGGGGGGGTCCACAATCTCGAAACAAGACTATTAAAATCTATAAATGTCCTTCAATTAGCCTAGGTTTCAACTTTTTGAATTAATACCTTAATAGAAATTATTAATGTATGCCACGAAATACCTTGAAATAATTATTTCTTGTTCAAGAATGTAAATGAAGAGTACTAAAAGAAGAGTACTAAAGAATCTGCGATTTGCTCTTCCCCTTTTTGGTACATGTGATTTTAGATTTGGATATATAACGTGGACGTGGTACTCTGTGCAATGTTTTTTGAGTAACACACTAACTATATATTGCATTTCAATGTCTAAAATAATTACAATTCGCATGTCACTACCGTTGCTATGGTTTGTTGATGCTGAATGACAGGTTACTATTGAATGTAGCATGCATAAGTAATGAAGCCACTATCTTCCCATATTGCGAACTTTAGAGGCCAACACACATCGTAGAGCAAGATATTAAAACGGGAAATGCTGAATGAAAACAAACAACTGATAATATATAGGCACATAGTTTTATATAGTTACCTTGAATGAACATCTAAGAGCATGTACATGTAAGATAATAAGATTTCACAGGAGTAAACTCCCTCCCGCCGCAGTGATCATTTTAAGCTAAGAGTATCGAGATAACAGAAAATCTCCTCCCCCTCTCAAATTCAATGCCCGATGACCACTAATACCAGCAATCAGGTAAAAGTTTCATAACATTCATATCCAATTTCCATATTTATCTCTTGTAATTTTGTTGTTTTTCACTAAGGATTTGGATCAAATGAAAAGAATATCTATGATGAATACGACAAAGACCATCTCTTTCTTGGATTGGATTTGTAGCAAGTAGAATCTTTGACAATAAACACATACCGGTACATAAAAGCGTCGTTAAGATATTCTAATGTGATATTGCATTTTAAACTCAATTACTTTTTTATTTTCATTCATTTTCTAAAAAATCTTAACAGCTCAATAAACATTGTGAAGTGGTTTGCAAAGTAGGTGACTGTTACACGTAAAGTTCATCCAAAATAAGAGGGAATATAGGAATGACAGAATGTATTGAACAATAGGTGAGGGTTCGATCAGTCCGTTTCTGTCGTCTTGCTTCAAGACTGCATTCTCCCTCTCCCTTTTTACTTCACAAAGGTGAAGGGGAAGGGGGCTCGCGAGGGATGGTAGCTAACGCCTAGACTAGTTTCTCGAAGGCCTACAATGAGACTCATGTGGGGCCATGAGTGCAGAGCTTATTAAATGAAGATGGAGCTCTCTTTTATAAATGGCATCTAGGCCCGGTACAGTTATCAGGTATCAGGTATTCTAGATAAAATAACCTAGATGATGGGAAATGAATACGACAGATATTTGCTGTATCACGACCTTTTGAAATCGGCCAGGTTTTGCAGACAACATTCTTCATCTTAGCAACTGGGATCTCTCCATGACTGATCTAGAACTTCAGTAGCAAACATCCACTTGTTTGGAAATCCAGCTGAAACACCCATAGATGTAGACAGGCTGACTTTAGTCTATTTCTCCAGTTTTGATGCCAACTTAGTGCTTTTTGTCTTGTAAAATACTGAAGTGTCCCGAATTGTCTCTGGTCCTACTCAAAAGGGGTAAGGATATTGGCAGTGTAATCCTTCTCTAGGGGCTTGATATATTACCATATTCAAGTTCGTATTTGATCTATTTGTTTGATATATCTTTGAAAATAATGAATTTATTTTGCAATTGCATCATTGTAAAAGAGTACACACAAGATTGCATGAAGATCAAAATATTATTGAACTGAATTTCTCAGTTTCTATTCTTTTCCACATTTCGTATTTTATTGCTGAATTCTATGTAGATACCACGCGGACAGTTCAAACAACAATTGTGTTCATTCTAGCCATATGGAAGCAATGTACAAACTTTTGAAACCAAAAAGTGTTTTCAATGTTCGAACGTAATTGAATTTATTGCATGCATTTTACCCAGCATAAATAATTTATTTTAACACTTGATCATAGCGCACATCCTAAGTTACATTGTATTTTTGTAACACTTAAAGTCCCCGACTAAGGTTTGAAAATATTTTTTTATCATTCATTTACTATTTGTCAGGACTTAAAAAGTGATTTTAGAGATTTTTGAACAAAAAAAAATTTTTGAAAAAAAAGTTGTGAGCATTTTGAAATTTCTTAATCATCAAATATTTCTTAATGCATTTCAAAAAAGGTTATCTTTTTAACACCAATGCAAAGGTTGAACAAAGGACACACTATTTCAATAATAAAATGCCATATTTAATGGGCCACTTCAATGTTCTAACATATCAAAAATATTTTGAAACATTAGTGATGTCACTATAAGGTACCAAAAACTTTTTGAAAAAATTGAAATTTTTTTTCGATGTCAATCTTTTCTAAATATGTTAGACTTTCATAAAAAAACAATGTTGATTGTCTAACCAGGTTAAAAGGAAGAATGAATTATGTTTTAGATATCATTGTACCATTGGTTTCTATGAGAACTAAAATTTTGAAATGCATTTTTCTCAGAACCATTTTCATGCACTGATAAGTTCATTTCTCGCT